TTTTCACCACAGAAGAAACATTTGAGTTTTCCGAGTGGAACCTTGTTGGTCTCTTTCGATATGTACTGGCACGTTTTCGAGTCATGTTGCTCAGAGCATCTGAAGCAAACGGACGGTTTGTTACAACCGTTTTGTCCATGACCAAACTGCAGACATTTCGAACATTGAGATGGACCAGCTTGTCTATTTTTGTAGTCAGCCCATTTAATTTTGAAACTGCTGACAATTTTGATTTTTCTGAGGAATTCCAGGAAATTTCCACCTTGTTCTACATCTTTTTTGAAGTACACGAGGTAGTTTTGGTCGTCGTCTTGTTCGTGTCTTTTGTGTTTCATTGTCATTTTGACAATTTTTACTGGTGTGATTTTTACGGTTTGAAGTTCCTTCTCCAACTCACTGATTTCCATATCTGGGAGTCCATAGAGTACGTACTTCTTCAGTGGTTCTTGGCTGGAGTATGTGTGGAAGTGATGCTTTTTGTCTTTGAGTAGTTGGATGAATTTCTCGTAGTAATCCCAACTCTCCGTTGTTACCGTTTTTGTTCCTTGTTTGCCCTTTTTGGTCTCAATTAAGAAACTTCCAGGTTGATTGTTTATTTCATTCGTCAATCTCTTGATTTCACCAGCTCCTCCTGTGCTGATGACAATTGGAGGTGGTTTTGATTTTTGTTGAGATTTGTTGTTGTTGCTTTCCGTGTTTACGGAAATTGTCTTTTGTTGCTCTGATGTTTTGCTGTTTTCTCCCCAGTACGAAGAAGTTGTCGATCTTTTTTTCTCCTGTTCTGGTGAACCAAATAGATACGGTTTTCCAGAAGACGAAGCTTTCTTCATTGGTGGGAGTACGAACAGTGGTTTGTTTCCATCTTTTGGTTTGCTTTCGTTTGCTACTCTTTTTAAAAGAGCGTTGTGAACTATCACTTCTCGAGGGCGTTTTTCTGCTTTACTTGCTTCATTGAGAAACTTCTTTATTGATATTTGTTTTTTTGGTTTGAGATTTGTCGTCTCAATGTCGGCTGCTTGTGAAACATCTTCACTGAAAATTTCCTCAATATTGAGAATTGTCACTGAAGATGAGTGTTGTTGTTGAGAACTATTAAGTCCATGCTGATTTTGAGAAAGATTTTCTTCGTTGTTGGTAGTTTTTGGTGATGCTACCATTTTGATGTTTTGAGAATCAAACTGAGATTTTGAAACTTTTTGCAAACAAAAAGCTTCTCAGGTAGTCTCTGTTTTGTTTCTTTTGAGATTTTTGAATAATTTGCGGAGCGATTTGTAAACACGTCTGTTCACGTTGAGATCTAGTTTGCAACTGTTATCTATATTAGCATTCTTTATCATTTATAATACCTAGATATGTTTTTAATGCAACTTAAAGCATTTTTGGTTTCGATCATACTAGGCTATTTTCAAAAAAAAATATCGATTTTATATCTATATTAGCGTTGTTTATCATTTATAATACCTAGATATGTTTTAAAATGCAATTTAAAGCATTTTTGGTTTTGATCATAGCAGGCTTTTTTCAAAAAAATATCGATTTTATATCTATATTAGCATTTTTTATCATTTATAATACCTAGATATGTTTTAAAATGCAATTGAAAGCATTTTTGGTTTCGATCATAGTAGGCTATTTTCAAAAAAAAATATCGATTTTATATCTATATTAGCATTCTTTATCATTTATAATATGTTTTAAAATGCAATTTAAAGCATTTTTGGTTTCGATCATAGTAGGCTATTTTCAAAAAAAAATATCGATTTTATATCTATATTAGCATTCTTTATCATTTATAATATGTTTTAAAATGCAATTTAAAGCATTTTTGGTTTCGATCATAGTAGGCTTTTTTCAAAAAAATATCGATTTTATATCTATATCAGCGTTGTTTATCATTTATAATACCTAGATATGTTTTAAATGCAATTTAAAGCATATTTGGTTTCGATCATAGTAGGCTTTTATCAAAAAAAAATATCGATTTAATATCTATATCAGCGTTGTTTATCATTTATAATACCTAGATATGTTTTAAATGCAATTTAAAGCATATTTGGTTTCGATCATAGTAGGCTTTTATCAAAAAAAAATATCGATTTTATATCTATATTAGCGTTGTTTATCATTTATAATACCTAGATATGTTTTAAATGCAATTTAAAGCATATTTGGTTTCGATCATAGTAGGCTTTTATCAAAAAAAAATATCGATTTTATATCTATATCAGCGTTGTTTATCATTTATAATACCTAGATATGTTTTAAATGCAACTTAAAGAATTTTTGGTTTCGATCATAGCAAGCTTTTTTCAAAAAAATATCGATTTTATATCTATATTAGCGTTGTTTATCATTTATAAAACCTAGATATGTTTTAAAATGCAATTTAAAGCATTTTTGGTTTCGATCAAAGGAGGCTATTTTCAAAAAAAATATCGATTTTATATCTATATTAGCATTCTTTATCATTTATAATACCTAGATATGTTTTAAAATGCAATTTAAAGCATTTTTGGTTTCGATCATAGTAGGTTTTTTTCAAAAAAATATCGATTTTATATCTATATTAGCGTTGTTTATCATTTATAATACCTAGATATGTTAACTTCCAAAGGGTACCAAAATGTGTGTAATAGGAAGCCGGATTTCTCTTTATATAATCTTTTATAATTGGACATCATCTTTGCCTTCAAAACGTTAAAAATCGTCTTTTTTGAATTTTGAAAATTTTTTGCGTTCAAACGAATATATCTGAAGATTAAATTTTTTGAAGTTTTCGAGATAATAACATAGCTTTCGCGAATGAAAAAAAAATTCTAAGGATATTAGAGTTTTAATATTTAATTATATTTTCCTGGCTCCTTTACTTAAAATTCAGTTCGAGATGTTTGTAACTTTTCATTGTCTGTGAAAGGATACTTTTGATGGGAGTCTTAGCTGTAGGATAGGGAGTGGACGAGCTGTGCTCCACTCCACTCCGCTCCATTGCACATTGCTTCGCTCCGCTCAGCAATGTTCCATTTCACTTCGTTGTGACATTGAAAGCATCTGTCAACATCTGTGTTCGATCTTTTCGAGAAATTTGAATACTATTTTGTTATCTAACATAAGTCAAGCGTGGAAGTTCGTGGCTTTCTACGTAAGTCGTGTTTTTTTTCCTTTTTTATGATTTTTTTAAACTTTTTTGATAAAATATTAAGTTAAGTCCATTTTCATATTTTCTTTTTTCATTTTCCAAATTTTAACTTGTAATTTAAATTTTTTTTCCATATATTTTCATACAAATTTACCTATTTTTGTCATAATTTGTACACTTTTAAGTTTAATTAGCTAAAATTTGACATGTAGGCTCTATTTCTAGACCTGGAAGTTCTAAAATCATAATCCTGGATCGTAATTTATTATATATTTTGACTTTTTGCGGTCTCGAATGAGTAAGTCTATACTACTTTTAATATTTTATGCTATTTTACGATCCAGATTTATGATTTTAGAACATCCAGGTCTAGATATGTCAAATTTTAGCTTATTAAACTTAAAAGTACAAATTATGACAAAAAAAGTTAAATTTGTATGAAAATATATAGAAAAAAAATTTAAATTACAAGTTAAAATTTGGAAAATGAAAAAAGAAAAATATGAAAATGGTAAAATTTATCATAAAATTTATTATTTTGTCAAAAAAGTTTAAAAAAATCATAAAAAAGAAACAGTGTTGCAAATGTAGATGTCTACACTAGATGAAGAATGTAGATTCTTTAATAGTTTTTGTCTAGCTAAGAAACTTTCTTCATAAAGATCGATTCTACATGAAGATAGAAAATCTAATCTACACAAAGATTATTTCTACATAAAGAATCTGTCTACATGTAGATTCGATGTAGATGTCTACAATTCTACATATTTTCCAGGTCTACATCAGAGAAGAATGTAGAATTGTAGACATCTACATCGAATCTTTATGTAGACAGAATCTTTATGTAGAAATAATCTTTGTGTAGATTAGATTTTCTTTCTTCATGTAGAAGCGATCTTTATGAAGAAATTTCTGTCTCAGAATTTATCTGATCCAGACAAATGGCCAGAATGCAACATTGAAAAGAAAAAAAAAAGAAAGTTGCCTGCGGTGAGATTTGAACCAGTGATTTGAGGAAGAAAAAAATTGACGAATTTTATATGAAATCTTTATACTTCACAAAAGGAATAAAATTTTGATAGTGAAAGGTGACCTGTTACAGGTGGAAAAATTTGATCTGTTAAAAGGTGAAGGCTTGTGAAAGGTAGAACCTTAGACAGGTCAGAACTGTGACAGGCAAAAAAAATTGATCTATGAACAGGTAACGGCCTGTGAGAGGCAAAACCTTAGACAGGTCAGACCTGTGACAGGAGAAAAAATTTGACCTGTGAACAGGTAACGGCCAGTGATAGGTGGTCTTTCGACAGAATCTGTCACCTTTACTTGTGACAGGTACCTGACGTCGCAACTCTGATTCCAGAACATCAAGAACTCCTCGCGAGCCCTGTATATCAGAAATCAACGTCACTCACGAATAAGTTTTTTTTGTCGGGGCCCAATACATTCAAAAAGAAAGACAACTTAATCAAAAAATGGATTAGGTAATTGAATTATAAATATTTTACACTTTTGAAACCAAAAATGAAATATAAACCGGTAACAAAAAGTCTCTAGCTCTCATTAGATTCCTTGCAAAAGTGGTGTGAATCCATTTATTATCGCAGTAGATGCGAATTTTAAGTTTATAATTTTACAATTATAAAATAAAAACTCTTAAAATTAAAAATAAAACAGATGATTAAATAAAAATAAGTGCACAATGATATGAAATCACAAAAAATCTGTTTTTATTATTTTTTTAATGTTATTCAATAATGAATTTATTCTTCTAAATTTGAGGACATTTATTAAAAATTGAAAAGTTCTAATTTAACAAGAGAGGTAGAATTTCTGCTTATAACAAGCATGTAAATGCAAATAATGAGAAAGTTTAACAATTTAATTGTTAATATCGACATAATATGCTACTTGAAACAAACGGGACCTACTTGAAAACCAAACGCTTGCTGCTGTTGTCCATAATCAATTGGATAAAAATCAATAATTGGAAGATATTGGATTTTCTTAGTACGAATTTCAAAAACACTTTCGCTCTTAGCTGCACCAGAATGGCATCCATCCTTTAAAATAGTAGGTTTAACAGGAGTGTCATGTCCAATTTCAATATCATTCTCTCCTAAGAGTCTTAACGACATTTCGTAATTTTCTGTTCTACTATTAAACCATGCGACACTGTTCATACAAGTGTAAGTAAAATTCTGATATGCTTGCTGAGAAAGCAAGCGAAGGAAAGTCATTTGAATAGGCCCTACTGTTTCGTATGAAATTCTGAACCCTCCACGGAGATTTGAGTACCAATCTGTTTTATCACTTTCTTTTCTCCAATGTATGTTAGGCATTTGAGCACTATGAATATCTGGATGTACACATGTCTCTCCTTGTGCTTCCATGTTACAAAATACCTGAAATTAAACAGTTTTATTCGATACCATTGAACTAATAATCTAATAATGGATACGAACATAAATTGCATCGTCTACCATCCCACTGTTTGGATCAACCCAGTAAAATCCATTTTTAAAATGAGGATAACCGTACCAAAGATCTCTACATGATCGTGCAGGATTTTCTCTTGTTCCATCTGGTTTTCGATATCGATCTAACTCTTGTCTCATCGAATAAATTGAACTGTACATCTCATGAAATTTTTGAGAAAATTCGTCTTTTGGTTTCTTGCGTTTCAATGTAGACTTTCGAGTCTTTTTTACAACACCCATTAATTCATCGATATCAGCATCTTCAATTTCTGCCGCTAATTGCTCAACATTTTCTAAATCTCGTCGTAACCTGTCCTCTCCTTTAGTGAATTCACTTTGAAACAGCAACTCTGGTGGTAATAAAGGAGCTTCTGCTGGTGGACCTGGTGGACCTAAAGTAGTGATATTTAATTAAAGTAATATTTTTTTTCCATGAAACATCTTCAGTTTTTATTACCAGGAGGACCAGCTTGACCAGTTTCACCTTTCTCTCCTGCCATTCCAATCTGTCCTTTTGGACCGATCATTCCAATATCACCCTAACAATATAAACATTATAAGTAGTGGTTATGGCATCAAAATTTCACCAATTCCAAAAAAATATATTTGTCTTCAGAAAACTACAATTCCCGTTCATTTAATGATGCACACATCCATTCAATATAGCAACAATCATCAAAACCTACCATGGAATGCGTATAGTAAGTTTTCTTCTTGAGAAGTTCTTGTGTGAGAGAAGTACAAATGGATAATGTCAAATGGACATCTGAAACTTTACCAGTTTTCCGAGAGAAACCGAGATCAAGTTAGAATTTTTCGAGACCTCATAGTTTCTGAGATCTGGATATGCCCAAACTCGTCTAATATCCATTTGTATTGCTGACAGGACTTTTTTAAAAATCATCCAAATTTTATAAATTATATATTAAAACATTGTAAAATAATGATCTCAGAAATCTGAGAAAATAAATAAATCAGTTGAAAAACACGAACAAAAACATAAAGACGTGTTTCATTGAAAATCAAAAATAAAACATGGCGCAGTCGTATGAAAGTTTAGAGGAATTCAATATTGAAGGTTCTTCGTCAAAAATTGAATGGGAACGATTTTCAACAGAATTCAACTCGTATCTAATTGTTAACGAACTTGATGAAAAATCCGACAAGATCAAACTTAACTTACTAACACTTTTGATGGGATATAAGTCAGTGGACATCATCAAGAATCTACCATTAACGGATCCAGAGAAGCAGAATTATGAAAAAGTGTTTGAGGCTCTCATGAATTATTTTTCACCATCATCAAACTTTCTTATTGAAAGAATAAAACTACGTGGCTGCATTCAAAAGGAATGTGAATCAGTCGATCAGTTCATTAGGGGCGTTCAAACCCAAGCTGATTGCTGTGAATTTAATCAATTTAAAGAAGAAGCCATTCGTGATCAAATTATTTTCGGTCTGCACAACAACAATTTGCGAGAAATGCTCATTTTATCTCAAGAAAAGTCATTGCACACTTTGATCAGCAAAATCAAAATATATTATTACAATCAGCAACAATTAACCCGAATAGCATCAGACAGTATCAATGTAAATCAACTATCAGCAGTGCACCAACGTATCCTCAACAAACAAACGTCGAATAAAAGTGAAAAAGCTCAAGTTAAAAGCAACAGCGTTGAGAATTTATTTGGCAAAAAGAGGAAGGAGAAGGTCTGTGCAGTTGAAGAACGCGAAAACTGTAAGTCTCTTTGGTGTAAAAAGTTACTCGTGCATGATAAAATGATCAATTTTAAGTTGGATACTGGATCGCAGGTTAATACTATTAGTATAGATATGTTTAAAAGCCTAGGAAAGAAATTTAAGATCGAAAAGAGTAATTTAAAGTTACAAAGCTATTTTGGTGAAATTAATCACCCTATTCGGAAGATAGTTCTTCCAATTAAAATAAATAATGATGTGTATCATGAGGAATTTATAATCATTGATAAAAAAAGGTACCTTTATTAGGCTTAGAGTCCTGTGTAAATCTAAAACTCATATCTCCAATAGATTCATTGCACTTGAACCAGTTGTTGTGTTCAGAAAAGCAAAAGAATAAGTTTACAGATTATTATGAAAAAGCTTTTACAGGTCTAGGAAAGTTTGATAAACTTTTAAAATTAAAATTAAAAAAAAATTCAATTCCGGTGGCGAATCAGAATCGTCGAATTCCATTTAAGTTGAAGAATAAGCATCAGAATAAATTAAATGAAATGGAAAGATTAGGTATCATTTCACGTGTCAGTGAACAGCGTGAATGGATTAATAGTGTCGTAATTGTTGAAAAAGGAGATAAAATAAGAATTTGTATTGATCCAAAGTATTTGAATCAAGCATTGAATAAGTTTCATTTTCCGATACCATCTCTTGATAAATTAAAACAAGATTTAAAAGATTCTCAGTATTTTACGGTTTTAGACCTCAAAGATGGTTTCTGGCAGTTTCTGGCATATAGAATTAGACGAAGAATCCAAAAAGTTGTGTACGTTTAGTTCTCCTTTCGGTTTGTGGCATTTCAATTGAATGCCTTTTGGGATAAATATTGCATCAGAAATTTTCCAAAAGTACATGACAGATAATTTTGGCGATTTACCTGGAGTCAAATTTTATATTGACGATATCATTGTTACTGGTAAAACAATGGAATTAATCTTTAGGAAGATTAATGGTCAGGGCATTAAAATCAGGTGTAAAATTCAATTAGAAAAAATTACAACTCACACAAAGCTTAGTAAAATTCTTTGGCCATATCTTTGCTGAGAATAAAGTAGATGTTGGTCCAGAAACGATTTCAGCAATTTACAATATTCCGAATCCTTAAAAATCTAGAAGATGTACAGAAGTTTTTAGGAGTAGTCAATTATATCAGGGATTTCATTCCCAATATACCTTCTTTAAAAGTAAATATACGTAATTTATTGAAAAAGGACAGTGAATTTGCTGAACAAGCTGAAGAAGCTGAGTTTGACAGCATTAAAGAAGTAATAAAAAACGTCACCTCATGTACTACATTTGATGAAAATATGCCAATAATTTTAGAAACCGATGCCTCGTCATACGGTTTAGGTGCATGTTTAAAACAAGGAAATAAAATTATTAGCTTTGCTTCGCGTTGTCTTTCTGAAACAGAAAAGGAGTATGGTCAGATTGAAAAAGAATTTTTAGTCGTTTTTTTTTGCATGTAAAAAGTTTCACAATTATATTTATGGCAGAAAAAATTCAACACGAGATTCCTCTTCGATCATTTGACATTCTTGAATTTAATGGAGAGAATTATCTCGTTGTTATGGATTACTTTTCGAAATGGATTTCTTGTAAATATTTAAGTTCCAAAAATTAAAACGCTATAATTCATAAATTCATTGATATTTTTACAGAACACGGCTTTCCAAAGACCATTATTGCAGATAACATGCCATTTAATTCATTTGAATGTAAAAGTTTTGCCCTTGAGTGGGACATTAACTTAGTGACATCAAGTCCTCGTTATGCACAGTCGAATGGTCTTGCAGAAAAAGCTGTAGGAATAGTTAAAAATATGATGAGGAAATGCGAAAGCTTCAATAAAGTTCTAATAGCAATATACAATTAAAATAATATTCCGTTAGTTGATATTGACTTGTCTCCTAGTCAATTGCTTAACAATAGAAGAATGAGGACTAGAATCATTATATAAGATAAATCACAATTTAGTTAAAAAATTCAAAAAGAAGTAAAATAAAACAAAAATATATTACAATCGAAATGCGTATGTACGTGATGAGTTCGATGTTAATCAAAAGGTATGGGTAAAATTGCCCAATAAAAGATGGTCCAAAGGATCAATCGTAAAGAAATGTTCAGAGCCTAGATCATATGAAATTCGTATGGATAGTAATAGGGTTATTAGACGAAACTCTAAATTTATCAGAACTGATAGGTCTGATACTGACGGTATCCAATCAAATTGATCAAAAGAAATGCGATGAGTCAAGTCAATATAGAATCAATCTTGATAAGTTCTTCGCTGATAACTTACTGCATGAACCTCCTCTGAATTCTGATGCAAATACCGCATCTTCCGTATCTCACCAAACAACTGCAATCTCAACGGAAAGAAATTCGAACCAACAAATGTTCCGACGATCATCAAGAATTCCAAAACCAGTGCAAAGATATGGGAATTGATAAGAGAAGGGAGATGTAAAATAACGATCTCAGTAATCTCAGAAAATAAATAAATCAGTTGAAAAACACGAACAAAAACATAAAGACGTGTTTCATTGAAAATCAAAAATAAAAAAAACATATCTACTTTTTCCGAGAGAAATGGAGAGCAAAACATTTTTACAATCAGACTTTTAGATTTTGAGATATGGCATTTCTTTGCAACACGTATTACTTATGTAAAAAACAATAAACTGATAAAGTTTCAGAATTTTTCATTAAATTTTCACGATTTTTCCTTACCTGAATTTTTTTTTATGAATTCCTGGATTTTAATGCTAATAACTCAAATAGTAGAAGTCAAAATAAAAATATTTTTACTTCTTGTTACTTCTCGGAAAAAGTACATGCATTTTGATAAATAATATGTTTAATTACTTTATGTATCAAAAAGTTGACCATTTATGTCCAAAATCTAAACTCGTCGAAAGGTTTAAAAGCTCATATCTCAAGCGAGAATGATAAAATTAAAATAATTTTTGCATCTCATTTTCTCTCGGAAAATGTAGATGTAATTTAATGTATAATTTGTATTGTTAAAGTTATGCTCGAAAAGTTGATATGTAAAATCCAATTAAAACTCGTCTAAAAAAATCAGAAGTGCCATATCTCAAAATCTAAAAGTCTGATTGCAAAAATGTTTTGCTCTCCATTTCTCTCGGAAAAAGTAGATATGTTTTAACATATAATTTATAAAATTTGGATGATTTTTAAAAAAGTCCTGTCAGCAATACAAATGGATATTAGACGAGTTTGGGCATATCCAGATCTCAGAATCAATGAGGTCTCGAAAAATTCTAACTTCACCTCGGTTTCTCTCGGAATACTCTCGGAAAACTGGTAAAGATGTCCATTCATGACAACTTTCAGATGTCCATTCGACATTATCCATTTGTACTTCTCTCACACATTTTTTTCCCTTCGAAATTTGATTCGAATTCTTCGTAAGTTATTTCAGGAAAATAAAAGGTCAAAAACATTCAAAATTAGTGTATCGGGTAGAAACCCAATGCGGAAATATTCACAGCATAATTTTGAAGATATAAAGCTAGCGAGTCAGCTGAGCTTCGCTCAACATAAGTTTGAAGGGTTAAAGCTTAACAAATATTCTTAAAATATTCTTTTCCATCCAATGTTGAATTTTATAAAAATCACAGTGAACTTTTGAGAAAGGAAAGTTTTTTGCTTTTTCTGAAGCAACGGCTGTTCCTACCTTACCCAAAAACAATACTGCTCATCTATAGAGCAGCACGGATCAAATGTATAAAACTAGAAGTCTCTACGATGTCTCGTTATTGAGATTTCTTGCATGCTTGCTTGTTTGCTCACAGAAAGCGTATTTTGCGATTTTCTCATCAATGTTATAACCAATTTGAAATCTGATTTTTGCTAAAGATGTAAACCTTCAGGCACAAACTTTTCTTCTCGGACCTTTTATATCAATCTGAACAAAACCAATAGATTCACACGTGAAAACGGTGTGAATATAAAAAATTTCATCACGCATTCAACATTTTAGCAATTCTATTGTATAAATTTTTAAAAAATTAATAATTAGTTTTTGCTTTACCTGAACGCCTTGCGGACCTTCATTTCCTGTTGATTTAAAATTTATTATCAATAAAAAAAATAAATAAATTAAGATAAATTTAAATGTCTATGTATCCACCTTTTTGCCCAGGAGGGCCTTCTAAACCAACTTCTCCTTTTTGACCAACTATTGTACAAATATGTTTATTAAAACTTTATTGGATTTAATTCTCAAATGTTTAACTATTTACTTTCACCAGGAAATCCGGTAATTCCTTTGTTTCCTTTTTCGCCTTGATCACCCTAACGTTGAAATTATTGACAATACTTATTTAAATTTTTAAAATGGTCCATAGTGTAAGCAAAACTTACTTTTATACCAGCAATACCCAAATCTCCTCTAAAAGTATAAATTATATATTATTTAAGCCTTTTTAATATTAATAAAACATCTATTAACTATTCATTTCTACATTGAAGACATTTTGGTTAATTATTACATACCTGTGACCTTTCATTCCCCGTTTTCCACGTTCACCTTAACCAATAAAAAAGATTATATTAGGACTATAAAGTGTTACAAAAACAACTGTGACAGGTTGAAACCAAAAGCGATTACATTCACACCGTACCATCGAAAGTTTTGTTAAAAGGTTTGAATGAAAGATTAATAGTAAATTCTAAATGAAAGACACCCGAGTCAGTCTTTTAAATCTATTAGACTTTAACACAGCTTACAGCATGACTACTTTTTTCACTCAAATTAAATAGAGAAAAAATTGATGGGCAAGCTGATCTATGTTTGGAGATTAAAATTTTTTAATTTTTTTTGTTCAATATCAATGCGTGGTAACTATCACAAATATTTCAAAATAATCCCTGAGCCTGTTTAAATTTGTGTTTTTTTCACTGAGGAAAGATCTTCCAGTTTTTATAAGTGGCAGTGGAAATCTCAGTTGCAGCATTTTGTACAAGAGTCCGTTATGCCAGACTCTGTCAAATGCTTTTTCTAAATCCAGGAAGATCATGGTATTGGAATCACTTTTTGCGTGTGTACAAACTTTGGGGAAGTGATTGAGTTTCAGACACAAATTGATTATGAATTTCAAGTATTCGAAATCTTTTTCAAGAAAATTTATAATGAAGATGTTTTTGATTTCATTTAGACTCGAGTTTTTCACTTGAGTTTCTTGCTTCCATTATGAGTTCAGAGAGAATCTTAATGTGATTCTCGATATCCTCTGTATTGCAAAAATTTTCTCCAATGTTGTCTTCGATGCGGCGTGAAATTTGTACTTTCAACTTTCTCCAGTTTGCATTTTTGTAGTCATATCTGTACACTGTATTTTCAGTTCTATCGATTTTTGATGCTTTGATTTGAAAATACACTTATTGCCTCTGTGCATTGAGGTTCTGTTGTTTCGAGGTAGAAATTCGAGAGCATCCGGTCAATTGTTGACACTGATTTGTTTCGAACTTCTGAGTAGTACGTTGGTGAGTCAGAAAAGTTGATCGCGAACTCTCCAGACATTTTCTCCAAATTTTTCCATTCCAAATTTTTTCACTTCCAAAAAATTATTTTCCAGCAAAATACGTTCCAAAAACTTCCGTTCCAACAAATTTTTTTCCAACAAAATATGCTCCCCCTATAAGCTCAGGGATTTTTTTTTTGAATATTTCGTACAGTTCTTCTATAAGACTGAGTATTTGTATGAAAGATTAAACAAATATGTTACAATAAATATTATTCAAATCTCAAAAAAACTTATTACGTTCGCACTTTAGGGGGGGGGGGGGGGGGGGGGGGTTGGTTTGAAAAATTGTAACAAAATGTAACATAGGGGGGTTCAGGAATTCAGGAAGTATGTAATGTTTTAACCAGTGTTGCATTCTGGCTATTTGTCTGGATCAGATAAATTCTGAGACAGAAATTTCTTCATAAAATCGATTCTACATGTAGAAAGAAAAAAACCATCTACATGTAGATTGTGTCTACATGTAGAATCTGTCTACATGTAGATTTAATGTAGATGTCTACGATTCTACATTCTTCTCTGATGTAGACCTGGAAAAAAATGTAGAATTATAGACATCTACATCGAATCTACATGTAGACAGATTCTTTATGTAGAAATAATCTTTGTGTAGATTAGATTTTCTATCTTCATATAGAATCGATCTTTATGAAGAAAGTTTCTTAGCTAGACAAAAACTATTGAAGAATCTACATTCTTCATCTAGTGTAGACATCTACATTTGCAACACTGGTTTTAACTGTCGTCTGACTTTTAAAAAAAAGTTCACGAAAAAAATTTGTTTACAAATTCACACCAAAAACATTTTTTTAAATTTTCCACCTTTTTAATGATTTATGAATGTCCAGATCACTTTTGATAGCTAAGCAATACATAGTTTTTGTTATATTAAGTAACAAATCAATAGAAAACTGGTTTACAAGACTTTAAAATACAATCATAATTTGTGGAAATTTTCAAAATTAAATCAATCATAAGCAGGGTTGCAATATGTGACGACATGTCAAAAAAATATTTCCTGCGACACATGAAATTTTGTCACACATTTTACATGTTAACACATTTTTTTCTGCGATATGTCAAACATATTTCCTGTCAAACATATTCATGTGTCCACATATTTTTTCTGTCACATATTATAATTTTCTAACATAAAATATGTTTTTCCCGTTTTTTTTTTGGAATCCAAATTAGATTAAAGGTTTAGTTAGATTAGGTCCAAAAATGAATTTTCTATCGAATCTGACTCTAAGCATATCATTAATGCTAAAAAAATCAAAAAATTGAAAATCTTGTGCAACAGCCACAGTTTTTACTGCTTATTAATAACATTTTCCAATTTTTTCTGCTCATTTTTTTACCAACAGGAAAGGATTCTTAAGGTCCAAAATTGATAAAATTTAAATTTTATCCAACTTAGACCGAAAAATCAAAAATTTGTTAAAAATTTATAAAAAAATATTTTATGTTTGAAAAACATATTATGTGACAGGAAAAATATGTGATCACATAAATATGTTTGACAGGAAATATGTTTGACATATCCCAGAAAAAAATGTGTGACTTAATTTCTTGTGTCACACATAAAATATGTCACATATATGCGCATATTCTGTAAAACATAATATGTTTTTGCAACCCTGGTTTTCTTCAAAAAAAAAAACAAATTTTTGCTTTATAATTCAATCCAATAATTCATGAGAATACTAATAGTATCAATCAAAACTTGACCTATTTAGCTGTACAGTATTTTGATGTTTAAGAAAAAAAAAAGAAAAAGAAATTTAACCGTCTTTTTAGAATAAAAAATTATCAAAATAAAATAAATTTTGAACGTGAGTTGTAACATATTGTAACAAGGGGGAAGGGGGGTGAAAAAAGTAGTTTTTTTGGGTAACGTAATAAGTGAACGGCCCCATAAGATTACAAATTTTTCTCCTCAAATAATTTTAAGCTATTTTGCTTCAAATTTTCGCAAAATTTTCAATCTGAACAAAAACAGTACATTCACACGTGAATACGGATTGAATATTAAATATAATAAGAACCTTTTTCGCCTTGTAATCCCATTTTTCCAATCGGTCCTTCTTTTCCGGATAATCCTTTAAAAAAATTATTTCAATTTAAAAATATGACACAATTCTAAACAGTTTTTATAAATACCCATTAAACCAGGGACACCAATTTCACCTTAAAAATTTAATATTCAGTATTGTTTAAAAAAATAAAACAAAATAAAACTTTAAAACCTTGATCTCCTTTTACTCCTATCAAACCTCTCGGCTTAAAAAAATAATTGATTAGTATAATCATATCAATTATTATTATTTTAATTTCATACCCCTTCGGGCCCTATAGGCCCTTTTGGACCTAACATTCCAATCATTCCAACAGGACCAGTTGAACCTTAGATAATGGTAATCATTTTAGTTTATTTTTTGAATTTTTGTTGAATTACAAAACTCACCTTTATCACCCTTTTCACCAGCATTTCCAGCATTTCCCTGGATTCCTTTAAAAAAATTAAATTTTATAATGAAAAAAGAACTTTAAATTATTTTTTAGATTTTTTACCTGCTACACCATCTACACCCTGCTTGCCTATTTGAAAAATAAAGTGTTGTTTAAAAATACAACAAATGCAAAATAAATTTATGTTTTACCTTGTTCTCCTTGAATTCCTAAATAAATCATTCAAAATGATATATAAGTATAAATATTGAAAGCTTTCAAGAAATATTGCATTTACCTGGGGGACCAGCGTTGCCTAAAACAAGTAATTTTTGATCATTAATATGGTGTCGATTAATTGTAATTTAAATATTTTTACCTGGAAATCCACGCAATCCAGGTTCGCCTAAAAGTAGAAAACATAAAATTTAACAATAACATTTTAAAAACTCGAAATTTAAATTTCTTACCTTTTTGGCCATCTTCACCATGAACTCCTTGATCACCTTTACAAAATTAGCAAGAAGATAATTATCATTGGTAATATCGCGAAATAAAAATTAAAAAGGATTATTGATTTTCAAACCTTTCATTCCTTTTTGTCCAGCTTCTCCTTGATTTCCAGGTAAACCTAATTTAAAACAATCATAATACATCAATTTCAAAATAATTATTTAAATTTAATACCAGTTTGTCCTATGTTTCCCTTTGGTCCTTCCTGTCCTGGTAATCCACGCTTACCGGGAGATCCTACAATTTGTATCATCATTTTTATAATTTGTCAGAGAAACTATATTTTTTTAATGTTACCTGGCATTCCAATTTTACCACTTTCTCCCTTTTGACCTCGTTCTCCAGTAGGCCCTATTTATTTAAAAAATAATTATTAGATCTAACAATTCTTTTAATGTAGACATACCTGTTGGACCGTCGATTCCTTTGATTCCGGGTGGCCCTTAATATTTATAAACATATTTAAACAGTATAAGAACGATTAGATGAATCTAATTGTATATAAAAAACTACAAACCTTGAGCTCCAGGTTCTCCAGTTAATCCTTCTCTTCCACTTTCTCCTTGCTGACCACGTGATCCATCCTGACCTATTGAAAAAAGTTTTTAAAAAGTGCTTCATAATAAATCACGTTTTTACCTAAGTCCACGGTCCAAAGAGAAAAAAAAGAAGTATTTTTAAAGTTTGAATAATTGAGAATGATTAAATTTCTTTTAAGGGAGTACTTTTTTAAGAAGTTTTTTTTTTATTATATTCACACCGTTTTCACGTGTGAATCTATTGGTTTTGTTCAGATTGAAAAATCAGTTTTTAGAATTTTGTGAGGATATGGAGCAAGATAGCTTAAAGTGTTCAAAGATGAAAAGTGTGTGCCTTGAATTTCACATCTTTTGCAAAAAACAGATTTCAAATTGGTTGCGGCATTGCTGAGAAAATCGCAAAATATGCTTTCTGTAAGCAAGCAAACAAGCAAACAAGCAAGTTAATCAATCAGCAAGAAATCTCAATAACGAGACATCGTAGAGACTTCTAGTTTTTTACATTTGATCCGTACTGCTCATTAGAAGAGCTGTATTGTTTTTAGGCAAGGTAGGAACAGCCGCAGCTTCAGAAAAAGCAAAAAACTTTCCTTTCTTACGAATTTTTCAAATTAAAAAATCACTGTGATTTTTTTTTTAAATTAAACTTTTGATGAAAAAAAAATTTTTCAGCAAAGAACCAAGAAGGAAATACATTTTCAATTTTGGACTAGGGGCGACCCTAGTCTTCGAGGGTTTTTCCAAATGGACTGAAACTTTGCATAAATATTCTAGTGCTTAAAACAAATACAAATAAAACATCCTTGAATTTTTTTGAGCAAAGAACCAAGAAGGAAATACATTTTCAATTTTGGACTAGGGGCGACCCTAGTCAAAATCAATTTTGTCACTTTTTTCTTCGAGGGTTTTTCCCAATGAATTGAAACTTTGCATAAATATTCTTGTGCTTCAAACAAATACCAATAAAACATCCTAAAATTTTTTTGAGCAAAGAATCAAGTAGGAAATACATTTTCAATTTTGGACTAGGGGCGACCCTAGTCAAAATCAATTTTGTCAATTTTTTCCTCGAGGGTTTTTCCCAATGAATTGAAACTTTGCATAAATATTCTTGTGCTTCAAACAAATACAAATAAAACATCCTAAAATTTTTTTGAGCAAAGAACCAAGTAAGAAATACATTTTCAATTTTGGACTAGGGGCGATCCTAGTCAAAATCAATTTTGTCAATTTTTTCCTCGAGGGTTTTTCCCAATGAATTGAAACTTTGCATAAATATTTTAGTGTTTAAAACAAATACAAATAAAACATCTAAAAATTTTTTTGAGCAAAGAACCAAGTAGGAAATACATTTTCAATTTTGGACTAGGGGCGACCCTAGTCAAAATCAATTTTGTCACTTTTTTCTTCGAAGGTTTTTCCCAATGAATTGAAACTTTGCATAAATATTTTTGTGCTTCAAACAAATACAAATAAAACATCTTAAAATTTTTTTGAGCAAAGAACCAAGTAGGAAATACATTTTCAATTTTGGACTAGGGGCGACCCTAGTCAAAATCAATTTTGTCACTTTTTTCTTCGAGGGTTTTTCCCAATGAATTGAAACTTTGCATATATATTCTTAAGCTTAAAACAAATACAAATAAAACATCCTAAAATTTTTTTGAGCAAAGAACCAAGTAGGAAATACATTTTCAATTTTGGACTGGGGCGACCCTAGTCTTCGATGGTTTTTCCAAATGGATTGAAACTTTGCATAAATATTCTAGTGCTTAAAACAAATACAAATAAAACATCTTAAAATTTTTTTGAATTTTTTTTCAATTTTGGACTAGGGGCGACCCTAGTCAAAATCAATTTTGTCAATTTTTTACTTTGAGGGTTTATCCAAATGGATTGAAACTTTGCATAAATATTCTAGTGCTTAAAACAAATACAAATTAAACATCCTTAAATTTTTTTGAGCAAAGAACCAAGTAGGAAATACATTTTCAATTTTGGACTAGGGGCGACCCTAGTCAAAATCAATTTTGTCACTTTTTTTCTTCGAGGGTTTTTCCCAATGAATTGAAACTTTGCTTATATATTCTTGTGCTTAAAAAAAATACAAATAAAACATCCTAAAATTTTTTTGAGCAAAGAACCAAGTAGGAAATACATTTTCAATTTTGGACTGGGGCGACCCTAGTCTTCGATGGTTTTTCCAAATGGATTGAAACTTTGCATAAATATTCTAGTGCTTAAAACAAATACAAATAAAACATCTAAAAATTTTTTTGAGCAAAGATCCAAGTAGGAAATACATTTTCAATTTTGGACTAGGGGCGACCCTAGTCAAAATCAATTTTGTCACTTTTTTCTTCGAAGGTTTTTCCCAATGAATTGAAACTTTGCATAAATATTTTTGTGCTTCAAACAAATACAAATAAAACATCTTAAAATTTTTTTGAGCAAAGAACCAAGAGGAAATACATTTTCAATTTTGGACTAGGGGCGACCCTAGTCAAAATCAATTTTGTCACTTTTTTCTTCGAGGGTTTTTCCCAATGAATTGAAACTTTGCATATATATTCTTAAGCTTAAAACAAATACAAATAAAACATCCTAAAATTTTTTTGAGCAAAGAACCAAGTAGGAAATACATTTTCAATTTTGGACTAGGGCGACCCTAGTCTTCGATGGTTTTTCCAAATGGATTGAAACTTTGCATAAATATTCTAGTGCTTAAAACAAATACAAATAAAACATCTTAAAATTTTTTTGAGCAAAGAACCAAGTAGGAAATACATTTTCAATTTTGGACTAGGGGCGACCCTAGTCAAAATCAATTTTGTCAATTTTTTACTTTGAGGGTTTATCCAAATGGATTGAAACTTTGCATAAAAATTCTAGTGCTTGAAACAAATACAAATAAAACATCCTAAAATTTTTTTGAGCAAAGAATCAAGTAGGAAATGCATTTTCAATTTTGGACTAGGGGCGACCCTAGTCAAAATCAATTTTGTCACTTTTTTCTTCGAGGGTTTTTCCCAATGAATTGAAACTTTGCATAAATATTCTTGTGCTTCAAACAAATACAAATAAAACATCTTAAAATTTTTTTGAGCAAAGAACCAAGTAGGAAATACATTTTCAATTTTGGACTAGGGGCGACCCTAGTCAAAATCAATTTTGTCAATTTTTTACTTTGAGGGTTTATCCAAATGGATTGAAACTTTGCATAAAAATTCTAGTGCTTGAAACAAATACAAATAAAACATCCTAAAATTTTTTTGAGCAAAGAATCAAGTAGGAAATGCATTTTCAATTTTGGACTAGGGGCGACCCTAGTCAAAATCAATTTTGTCACTTTTTTCTTCGAGGGTTTTTCCCAATGAATTGAAACTTTGCATAAATATTCTTGTGCTTCAAACAAATACAAATAAAACATCTTAAAATTTTTTTGAGCAAAGAACCAAGTAGGAAATACATTTTCAATTTTGGACTAGGGGCGACCCTAGTCAAAATCAATTTTGTCACTTTTTTCTTCGAGGGTTTTTCCCAATGAATTAAAACTTTGCTTATATATTCTTGTGCTTAAAACAAATACAAATAAAACATCCTAAAATTTTTTTGAGCAAAGAACCAAGTAGGAAATACATTTTCAATTTTGGACTGGGGCGACACTAATCTTCGATGGTTTTTCCAAATGGATTGAAACTTTGCATAAATATTCTAGTGCTTAAAACAAATACAAATAAAACATCTTAAATTTTTTTGAGCAAAGAACCAAGTAGGAAAATCATTTTCAATTTTGGACTAGGGGCGACCCTAGTCAAAATCAATTTTGTCAATTTTTTACTTTGAGGGTTTATCCAAATGGATTGAAACTTTGCATAAATATTCTAGTGCTTGAAACAAATACAAATAAAACATCCTAAAATTTTTTTGAGCAAAGAATCAAGTAGGAAATACATTTTCAATTTTGGACTAGGGGCGACCCTAGTCAAAATCAATTTTGTCACTTTTTTCTTCGAGGGTTTTTCCCAATGAATTAAAACTTTGCTTATATATTCTTGTGCTTAAAACAAATACAAATAAAACATCCTAAAAATTTTTTGAGCAAAGAACCAAGTAGGAAATACATTTTCAATTTTGGACTAGGGGCGACCCTAGTCAAAATCAATTTTGTCACTTTTTTCTTCGAGGGTTTTTCCAATGAATTAAAACTTTGCATATATATTCTTAAGCTTAAAGCAAATACAAATAAAACATCCTAAAATTTTTTGAGCAAAGAACCAAGTAGGAAATACATTTTCAATTTTGGACTGGGGCGACCCTAGTCTTCGATGGTTTTTCCAAATGGATTGAAACTTTGCATAAATATTCTAGTGCTTAAAACAAATACAAATAAAACATCCTACAATTTTTTTGAGCAAAGAACCAAGTAGGAAATACATTTTCAATTTTGGACTAGGGGTGACCCTAGTCAAAATCATTTTTGTCACTTTTTTCTTCGAGGGTTTTTCCAAATAATTGAAACTTTGCATAAATATTCTAGTGCTTAAAACAAATACAAATAAAACATCCTAAAATTTTTTTGAGCAAAGAATCAAGTAGGAAATACATTTTCAATTTTGGACTAGGGGCGACCCTAGTCAAAATCAATTTTGTCACTTTTTTCTTCGAGGGTTTATCCCAATGAATTGAAACTTTGCATAAATATTCTAGTGCTTTAAACAAATATAAATAAAACATCCTAAAATTTTTTTGAGCAAAGAACCAAGTAAGAAATACATTTTCAATTTTGGACTAGGGGCGATCCTAGTCAAAATAAATTTTGTCAATTTTTTACTTTGAGGGTTTATCCAAATGGATTGAAACTTTGCAAAAATATTCTAGTGCTTAAAACAAATACAAATAAAACATCCTAAAATTTTTTTGAGCAAGAATCAAGTAGGAAATACATTTTCAATTTTGGACTAGGGGCGACCCTAGTCAAAATCAATTTTGTCACTTTTTTTCTTCGAGGGTTTTTCCCAATGAATTGAAACTTTGCATATATATTCTT